TGAGACTCCAACTCAAAAAAAAAAAAAAAAAAAAGAAGATAGCACATAAGCTTTTAAAGTTTTGTTTAAAGAGTAAGACATTCCTATGTCAAATATATCTTTTGAGGTAGGTAAATGCGTCAGAGGTAATAATGGCAAATGTAAAAAAGACTCTGGTTCCAAGCCACACACCAGAAGTAGTTAAAAGCATAATGACTGAGACCGAATGATCTAGTTACCAGGGTTGGCACTCTGCAAAACTGTTTAGCTGGAAGAGATTGTTATTATTTTGGTATCCCTTTCCCTTTGCTGCTTTACTACCCAACTCCTGTTCTTCTGAATACTCAGGGCACTCACACACTAAACCCTTCAAAATCCACTGTCAAGAACGGCACTGTGTACCTATGGCAGAGTAGGTGTGAGGAAGAGAGGTTATGCCAAAATTTCATTTTAAAGCCTATTTCTAACTGTAGAGTAAAAGTATGTGTCTTGGTAAGGGAATTTTAAGTATTAGCCCAACAAATGGGAGGGATGTTTGGGCCAGGAAGCCTTCCTGGCACCCTTGGAATCAGAGGTGCCTTCACATAATGTCCTTACCAAACTCGACTTCTGAAGGAAATAAAAAAAAACTTCTTATCCCTCTGATGCAAGCCTGGAATCTGTTCATCTTTCTGAATGAGCACTATGTGAATTGCCAGTGGCTCCATAGGCAAAAGGAACTCTGAGAATTATAAACTGGTGTTTGGGTCTTTAGTAAGTAAGCTGGAAGAATCTTTACAAATGCTAGCTCCTGTACAGAAAAGCCATCAATCTACTGGGATGCAGGTGGCAACATGGTTTCTGTAAAGAGAAATCATGTGTAAAATCATGGGTAATCTTCTATAGATCTTTTCCTTAGGGCTAAACTTACTTCTAAAAAGCTTCCATTTAAGTTTGATACCAAAGCTATTTTAAAATATGAATTACCATGGGATTTAAAATATATTTTTTTATCATGTAGTAGAAACTGGCTTACAGGAAAAAAAAAAAAAGAAAATATAGGGAAGAAACAGACATTTTTCTCACTGAAGTACGATAAATAGACTTCCTTGGGGGTGGCCACTGGGAAATCCTCAAGTCTGCAGATAATACTCAGCTTTTAGGCAGTGAAATGCCAAATTGATGGGTGATAAAGGATGATCCCAGGAGGTTTTATGACTGGCAAATAAACTTCGATAGGAGCACATGTAAGGTGATCCGTTTGGAGGGGAAGATATACAAACTATACTTGCAGGATGATGAGTGCTGACCTTTCAGTTAAGACCCAGGAAAGAACTCTAGGAAACCCCGTGGACAGTGTGCTAAAGAGAATAACATAGTTTCTTGCAATGGCAAAAAAAAAGAAAGAAAAAGACAAAAGGCAACAAAATGTTGGGCACTGTCAAGAAGGGGATTAAAAGCAAAACAAAATAATTCTCCTTTTACACAGAACCACAGGACATCTTCATTGGTAAAGTTACATAAGCAGCTCTGATCTGCACATCTCAAGGACAGACCAGAGGCTATAGGGAACAAAGAAGGGCAATTAAACCATCAATGGCAGCCTCCAAAAAAAAAAAAAAAAAGTGCTGTCCAAATGACTGAACGATGACCTGGTGTGCCAAATGCCCTGAGCTAAGAAGCATTTTTGAAGCACAAAGTTTTTATTTAATAGTTCTACTTTGTTTATATAACTGCCAGTGATGACAGCCAATGTAGGGAGGCTCCTTTGGGAAGTCCCTGTTTTCCACCAGAGGTTGGGAGAAATCTGAGCTGAGTGGGGGAGGATCAAGAGTACTTTAAGCCCCATTATTTTCCTTCAATAATGTCCACTGGCTGACTTTTAGTCAAACTTGTTTTCTCTGCTGCCATTGTCAGCAGTGAATTTGTGCCTGACCAATTTCAATTTTTATGAAAATGAGTTTAGCACCCCCCCCCACCATTCTGTAGGACTTTTCAACCCCAATGATCTATACATTGGCACCAAAATATCTGTCTATGAGTGTTTGTAACTTAATCCTTAACCATAGTGTAGAAAGAACAGATTTTGGACTCCAGTTTTAATACAGTGAATAGAACTCAAGAACCCACAATAAATAATAATATTTATTATTCTCTGTAATATTCACACCAGTGGAGGGAAGCACAGGTCTCCATAATGAACCCTGAAAACACAAATTGACCCTACCAGGCTAATGAAATCATATACATGTAGGGTTTTTTTTAGCTAAGAAAGTAGCAGACAAGGGATTCTCCAGGACAGCCTAAAAGCTCTGCTCTTGGGGTAGTCTTAATCATACTGGGTAGCAGGTAAGATCAAGCCTGGATCATGACTTTTGTCCAACTGCTTGGCCCTCCCAAACAGGGGATGGCTACTGAGCAAACAAGCATAATGAACAGCGTACAAAGCTACATGGGTATATAGTGGTTTTCTTTTTTGCATTGTTCTTTGGAAACAAAAATTTTGTGAGATGGAGGACATTTTATCCACAGAAATGCAATTCAGCCTGGGTGCAGTGGTTAACACCTGTAATCTCAGCACTTTGGGAGACTGAGTTGAGAGGACTGCCTGAGTCCAGGAGTTTGAGACCAGCCTGGGCAACATGGTGAGACCTTGTCTCTACAACAAATAAAAAAATTAGCCAGGAATGGTGGCACACAACTGTTGTTCCAGCTATTTGGAAGGCTGAGGCAGAAGGATCACCTGAGCCCAGCAGGTTGAGGCTGCGGTAGCTGTGATTGTGCCACTACACTCCAGCCTGGGTGACAAAGTGAGACTCTGACTCAAAAAAAAAAAAAAAAAAAAAAAGAAAAAAAGAAATGCAATCCACTTGTTACTGGCTCAGTGTTACTACCATACCTTTCACAAATGTGGTAATATTTCTCATCCTGTATGCCATCCTGAATGGGCACATTTACACTGTAGTACCGTCCCTTTCCTAGTCCAACATCAGACACATCACCTGTTCCTATAAAAGAGAAGAGCACCATGATCAGTTATTAAGAACACAAGAAACAAGAAAATGTAAAAGTTTCTCTGATAGGAATTCAGAAGACTGAAAATGTCAATTAGGAGAACAATCTTAACTTAGTGATGGCTTCTAAGGGAATTAAATTAAGAAAAATAACATTAAGAAGTAACTTTTGTAAACAACACTGAAGAAGTAGGCATACCATAGGGAAACTGAAAAACTTTAGTTTCTATCTTACTGAATTAAATAAAACAATAAGAGATTAGCTTCTTTGACTTCTCATGCTTTTTAGGTTGACATAAGATCAGTATATAATTATACTTATCAGGACATTAAGAGTTACATGGAATATTTGATAGCATAGTAGGTGTAAGTGACGTGTCTGCTGACAGTCCATAAAAATTCATCTGGACAAACAGATTTAGTCATTCCTCTTGTATTGTCACCTGAAGTGACTTGTGTTAAAATTTTGCAAAGAAAAAAACCAATAAGGTATTAAAAGCATGGAACTATCCAAATATAACATATAAGAAATATCTAGAAGAAGTTCGGTATTTATTCATCAAATGTAATACTGAGCACATAGATCACTTGCCTGGAAAAAAGCCTGGAGAGAATTTGTGCAGGGACACGGTCATGACTTTGGAGGTGAAACTGAAGGCATCTTCTACACCTACCAGAGAAAGAAATGTCAGAAGAATTACTTCTCATATGGTACTCCTATTTTCAACATCTGAAAATCTAGAAAGCAGCTAAGGGAAGGAGGGGAGATGAGAAGGCAGCAATAATAAAGCCAATAAGCTGAAGAATAAAAGTAACATAAATCTCTGGTCTCTCATCTCTGTAATTACAGGATGAGGTAGAACTCTGGTCCCAAGTGAAGTTTGGATGTTCCTATTCAAACTCATGGCAAACTATAAGTGGACTCTTCCTTTCTAAGCAATGGGGTATCTGAGTACTCTTTGACAACCTGTTCTAAATGGTGGGGAAAGGTAAGAGCCTAGAATTGAGACATTATCAACAGAACTGAATAAAGAAAATTGGTACCATCTTGGAATTTTTATGTTTTATTTTGTTTAAGTGATTCTAGTTAAATTTTATTCAAAGAAGAATGAGTACGATATGATAACTTTTTGAAAAATATGACTGATAGAAATATTAACCATTATATAGAGAAAACCTAATTATAAATTTCTCTCTATAATGCAGATTTGGTTATCAATACAGGTCACCCAAAGTTTTATGCATGCTAAGTAGCTTATTTTAGCTATCTTTCTGGCTAAAACATGGAAGCCTGAAAATACCCATAACCTTGTGAAAGAGTGAAATTCCAAAATGGAGTAACCTTAGCTAAGTTCAGCCGTTTTAACACTGCTTAGCTCTGTCATGCTTTCTTAGCAAAATACTTTAATTTGCCCTCAATCATTAACAAAGGGCAGAATCAGTTTCCCAGAAGAGCTATTGATAATTGTTTTGCAACTTCTCAGGTACTGATTACTTTTCTATTCTAAGGATTTGTCTTCCAGCCATAAAGGGCCAAGCTGACCTCATCTCTTGTGATCAACCCTTCATGACCTATGTGACACAGTATCACCTATGTGACACCACCCCATCACTGCGGTAACAGTTCCTGTGCTTACCTGCCCCCTTCATAATGATGTAAAACAAGCCACCACTCTATCACCATGGCGACTTGCCCCACCAAAGGAAAGCTTTAAAAAGCATTCAACCTCAAGTAGCTGAGGCCATGATTTTAAGCTCTGGCCTCCACCCCAATCTTGGGGAGGTGGATTCACTCTCTTTCTCTAATCTACTTTCTAAATAAACTATATTTTCCACTCGAATTTTGGTGCAATTCTTTGCATCTTACCCGTGGAACTGGCTCAGTCTACTGGCCCACTGACCTAACATTTTTGCTGACCTAACATTTTGTGGCTCTTTATGGGGATTTTATTCCTTGTGGAGTTCCCTCCATGCTCTCTCTCACTCTCCTCTTTTCCAACTTGAGTTTCTCTGTGGACTGTGCTGGAAAATGGCTCAGGCTGGGGCTGCTCTCTGGTGAGCTTGAAGGTCCCGAGGAAAGGCTGTAGTTTGCTGAGGCCCAACAGGGTGGGAGACTAGAGTCTGCTCTTTATTTCCTCTCTAAACCAAGTTCTCACATTTTCTTTGTGGACCAGACTAGATCTTGGAAGGCAACTGATGGCCTTTTTTCCAGGGTTACCCCCTGGAAAGGCAGGAAGGCCTCTGAAGAAAGGTTTTGGATAGCCATTGCCTGATAGGGTGAGAGACAAAGTTCTTGGCTCCTGGCTCCCTCTCTCTCTGCTGTTTGCCCTCTTACCCCAATTGCCTTGCTGAGCTACATCGGTCAGACTTCTCCCTGTCACCTCAGCTTTATCTGATAAGAAGTTACATCACCAGTGAGTTCATGTGTTACCCTATCCTTTATTAGAAGGTCTAAGAACAATCTCAAGGGGCTACTGTCACTGTTTGGAAGTTTTTACTGGGGCTCTGGGGCTCCCTCTTTTAGAAATTTTGGTGCCAAGTCTTTCAAACACATATGGGAGCAGCCTTGCTGTGGTGTAAGGACTGCCCTTGGTGGGCTGAGGAGTTAAGGGGATGTCCTTTCTCACTCGATACCACACCCACACAGGCTAATTTCACTGATTCTCTTTTGGGATGCCAACTGAGAACATGAATGTTTTTCTCTCTTTGGCCTCTCGAACTGTTCTCAGGACCAATCCCTCTCTCCTTTTAGGACTCCTCACAGGGAACCCTCAAAATGGGGTGGCCAAGGCCCCCTCATTGAATTGCATTCTAGAAGGTCACAGGACCCTCTCACTAGAGAGGAGAGCCTGCCCTAAGCATCTCCTTAATACCAGCTAGGCAACAAGGAGATTGGCCCAAGGCAGGAAGTCTTTTGTCTCTAATACTCTCCTTTAGCTTGACCTATTGTCGCCACAAGGGCAAACGGTCCAAGGTTTTCAAAATAGTGTCCCTCTGAACCCTTTGTTCTTCCTGCGGCATACTCTTTCTAACTCCTTCTTTAATTACTTTACCTCCTTCCTGCTTTTCCCCTGACAACTCAGACCCAGCCAACCAATCTTCCCTGTTTTTCCCAGTTTCAGTCTCCTCCCTCACTACCCAATAGTACCTCTAGCTATAGCAAAGATTGAGCCATGTGCACCGTCTCCTTCCCTGACTTCTCTGCTGCCTGTTCTGGGAGGTTCTTTCAGGCTTCCATGGAGGCTTACCAGTTTCCCCTCAGGGAGGCAGCTGGGACAAAAGGTATTATTAAAGTTCATGTTTCTTTTTTTGATGATAAATCTCTCTCAAATTAGATCTAAACTGGGATTATCAGCCCTCTTCCTGGACAGAAGCAAAAGGACCATGTGTTAATTAACTAATCCTGTTAACTTACAGGAAAAAAACAGCCTATTGTTATTCGAATCTGCGTTTCCAAACCAAATTTTCAAGCGCTCTAGTAAAATCTTACAATTTTACCATGTGCTAAAGTAATAGTACTAGATAACATCAGTATTTATTATGTCAGCCTTGCTAAAGTTTTTTTTGGGAAAAAGTTGAGTCACCTTATTGTATCTGACTAGCTCCCTCCCTACAGAACAGGTAAAGCTTTAAGTGCAAAATACTCTCTGTGTGACACAATGGAGCATAGGAACTATAGCCATTCCCACTTATTTGTCACTTTACAGAGCCTGATATTTCTCCTGCAGGATGGGCAAAATGCTGGCTACTCTCTCTGTGGCACAATGACGCATGAGAACTGATCACTGACACCTAATTGTCCACACCTCTGGCAACTTCTAGACTGTAACTTAGTAATTTGTAAAGGATCTTAACAAATCTGCCTGTTCACAATTGAAAATAAGTAGGGACAGATCATTTCACATCTACATGGTCTGCTCACTCTAAAAGAGTTCTACATCAGATCATTACAAATGGAGAAACAGTCAAAAGTTTCATATGTATAGACATTTTTCTTAATTGACTTCGCTAGTTTACAAGCAAGATTATATCCAATGGAGCATTGAATGCCTGTTGCAGAGGCTAGACTTAAAAGTACACATATCAAACTTCAAATTACAAAAAATTTGGGGGGATTCGTTTTTTTTTTCTTTTTTAGCCAAGACGTTAGAGAAACAAAAGGATGTCAACATGGAGGACAGTAGGACCAGAGGGTCACAAAACAGGCATCCCAATTGGCAGTCACCATTAGCAATGAAACTTCAATTGCCCAACAGAGACTTGGTAAGAACTAACTTGATAAGAGGTATGGTGTCTGATGCTATGGGTACAGTCTGCAGGGGCACTTGAAGCATAGTAGCCCCCAAAAGGTCTAAACCTCCACAACCTTGTCCACTGTGCAGGCCACACAGCCATTGGGGAGCAGGTACACCCATCTCCAGAGGGGAGAGAGAACACCTGGCTCAAAATTGGTGGCCACGGAGGAGGCCTAAAAATCTGCTAAAATACGCAGCACTAGTTCACCATCAACCCAACAACCCCCAGATGAATATTAGGGCACTAGAACCCAAATGAATTTCTTAATTAACACAAGTGCCAGCCATTTATTCCTTGTCATCCATATTGAAATCATATAGCCTTGTATTAATCAAAAGTTACTAAAGGTTAATTCAAATTATAGATGTAAAATGTTCTATAAAAAGTAAAAAGAAAGAAACCAGAAAGCAATGGAGAGATGTAAAGAAAGTTTTTGGTATAAAAATGTTTTTTTGGTAAGAAAAGATATAAAGAAAAAAATAATTTTGTATAGGAAAGAATCTTGTATGGTAAATTTTTGTCCTATAACAAAATAACTGGTTATTTTAAAAGGAGAAAAGTATAGAACAAAGATAAAGCGTTCAAGTATGTTGTATAATGATATATATATGGTTTATAAAAGACTGTATAATACAAACTCTGAACAGTCAAGTTTATAAAAAGTTTAGTTATTTCTATAAATTAACCATTAATATCAATTACACTAATGCTAGGCCAAAATATTACCCAGAGACCAGAACATGAGCCTTTTAATGGACAATCTCCAAAAGAATTTTCTCCTATACACAACAGAGGGGAGGAGGGAGAGATGAATTCAGTTAGCCCCCTGCTGTCTATTAAAAAGCAAGGTTTCTTTTTTTTACTCTTCAAGTCAATTTAAACTACAATCTAACTACATGCCTCCAAACTAACATTGTCAATTTTTTTCCTTCAGACTTTCTCAAAGTATCTTAATATTTATTATATATTTTTTCTTTGATCAGACTTATTTTCCTCCACTTTCCAACATCTATGGTGTCCTCTGTATATGTAAAACAGAAATGGTCCTAACTTTCCTAAATCTTTCCCTTTTAAAATCCCTCAAAACTGTCTATAAATCCCCATCACAAAATCCAAAGGAACTTGAAGATAAGCTGTGGGGATGTCCACATATGGAGTAAGGAATTCACTGGTGCAATAGTGAAAGCTGCCTGGATTCCTATAAAGGGTGCCAAACCCACAGGGGTAACTATATGTGAATACATCTTACTAAACATCAAAGCCTTAATATGTCATAAAAGTGGCTATAACAGCCCTTAATATGGTGTTATTAATTCTAATAGTATGTGCTTTTACACAGAGCTTTGTGTACAGACACTAAAAATACTCTAACAACTCCATTGGTTCCTTTTCCCTCATCCTTTCCTCTTACTTTAGGCAGGTAGGGAGATCTCTTATGCCTCAATTCAGCAGGAAGTAGCTACAGAAAACAAACCACCTCCACATTCCCCAGTATTAAATAAGAATATTTTAGAACAAGAGGAGGAAATGAAATGGTAGTAACCTTAGCTAACGTGTAGCCATTTTAACACTGCCTAACTCTGTCATGCTTTCTTAGCAAAATACTTTAACTTCTCCTCAATAATTAACAAAGGACAGAACCAGTTTCCTGTAGGTAGCTATTGATAATTGTCTTGCAACCCCACAGGTACTGATTACTTTTCTATTCCAAGTATTTGTCTTCCAGTCATAAAGGGCCAAGCTGACTGAATCTATTTTGATCAGCCCTTCGTGACCTCTGTGAGACAGACCACCACCCCATTACCCTGGTGACCTGCCCTACCAACAGAAAGCTTTAAAAAGCATTTAACCTCACGTAGCCAGGGGTTCTACTTTTCTTTAAGCTCCTACCACCTCCACAATCTTGGGGAGGTGGATTCACAATCCCTCTCTAATCCCTTTCTAAATAAACTATATTTTTTCAATGTAATTTCTGTGTAATTCTTTGCACCTTACCTGCAGCACTGACTCAGCCCACTGGCCCACTGACCTAACACTTTTACCAACCTAACACCTTATTTCTTAACAAGCCTTACAACAGAGTTTTAAAGCATGAAGAAATATGGGGGATTTCTTTTCTGCAAAGGGGTTTCCTTTCCATTTCTACTGAGTCAGAAATGGTTTGAGACCTGAGAGATAAAAGCTAGTGTTTAAAGTAATTCTCACAAGTCACTACTTATACAGCTAAACACACTGCCTACCTCTACCCCTTTCCTCTTGGAAGCACAAATAGTTCAGGCTATGTTCAGATAATCAATCTGTAAAACAGAAGGACTATTAGCAGATTCAGGTACTATCCTCTTTTATACTTCAAACAATGAAATCGTCTTTGTTTTTACTTAATGCTTTCAGTCTTCATTAGACTTAATTAATATTAAAAAATATTAATTCTATTTGTATAAAACAGGTATGTTTGAATTTCCCAAGCCTTATGCTTTGCCGTAGGGAGGCAGTTAAATCCAATTAAAGGTTCCAGGTACAAAGCATGAAATAAACAAAATAAAACAAAACTAAGTAAATAAAAATAGCATTTCAACTTAGAAACTGAAGTATAAACAAGGATAATTCATTAAAATCCTGATTATTTATTTATCTATACATATACCAATTTACACTTTGAGCAATCATGTATGAGAGTTCCCAAACTATCATTATTCTTTTTAATCTTAGGCAGAAAGAATGATCTTATTCTAATTTGCCTTTCTCTGGGCATTAGGATGTTGATCACCTTTCCACAAGTTTAGTGGCCATATGTATTTCATCTCAGGGGAAGTATCATTAGGTATGGTTATAAAATCAGACTTAAAAGAGGATATTCTACCAGTACAAAACACAGCCTTGCTCAAAAACCTTCAGCAAGACTGTGTTTTGTACTTGTAGAGTATTCCACACAGATAGGCAGAAGATATGGATTTGGTGGGAAAGAGCAGAGTGCTTAGGTAGATTAAAGAAGGCAAGGATGGGATAGAAGTGGCTAGTGAAGCCACCACAGGATACTAGTTATGGAATCATGGGAGATTTAAAGTAAACCAAATGTGAAAGAGTTTGGGGGGGGGGGCAGGGGGTCACTGGAAGGGGGTTGCTGAAGAGGGGAAATAAACCAAAATGAAACACACCATAAAAGTTGGCTAAAACAGGAAACGCTAAAGGGTGTAGAAATAACATTGCAAATGGAAAGAATGGTTTCAGGTGACAGTCTTATTTCATTCTCATATGGTTCTACAAAGCTGATTCTATTCTTGAACTTTGATATTAATGGTTTAAATTTTAAAATCATTCATTCATTTAACAAATTTTTACTAAACCACTACTATAGGCATAGTATTGTTGGTTCAAGGCATTATGCAAGACTGGAAGAAATCACTTGTATACCCAATTCTGAATTGTACCCCCTCATCTTTAAAAAAAACGACTGGAAGAAGTAAGCAGCTTGATCTCTGATCTGAAGGAACTTAAAGTTTCTATGGGAAAAGAAGACATATACACATTAAAAATTAAATAATACAAGACAATATATAATTAAATATAAAATCAGAGACATAAACAATACAGGACTTGAGGGAGGGAACTCTGGGTTGGAGTGATCTGGGAAAATCTGCTACTATTGGAACTTGAGTGAATGGATAGAACTTGGGGAAGGAGAAGGCAAAAGCAAATTAGGAGAAAGAGAGGCAAAGTAAGTCAGGGATATGGGAATAGTGACACATGTCTGGGAAGAGTGAGACATGTCATGAATAGTGAGACATACTCAATGAATAGAGTATCCTGGACAGCAAGTAATGAGATATAAGGTTAGAAACACGAGGTAAGTCCTATTTGAGGTAGACCTTGAAAGACAGGGTAAAGAATGTGGACTTTATCTAGAAGACCACTGTTTCTCAAAGTGTGGTTTATAGAACAGTTAGGATGTTGTTCAAATGCAGATTATTTGGTTCTATGCCAGACCTACTAAATCTGAATATCTGATGGTTGTGGCCCAGCAATCTACATTTTAAAACAAACTTCTCCAGGTCATCCTGATGTAGATTTTAAGTATGAGAACCATCCCTTCTAGCCCAGGGATCAACAAACTAAGTGGCTAGATAGCAAACATTTTCGGTTTTGCAAACTGCTTACAGTCTCTTTTGCACGTGTGCACACACACACATATTTCTTTTACAATCCCTTAAAAATGGCAAAACCACTCTTAGCTCACTCGCTATACAAAAGCAAGTCATGGGTTAAATGCTGCCCCTTGTTATAGGCAATAAGGAACCTCTGGAGGTTTTTGAGCAAGGCTGTGTTTTGTACTGGTAGAGTATTCAAATATTCAGTGAATATGGTTCTCAAAGTAGTATGCTTGTTGTTTTAACCCTACTCTCTTCTTTCTTACCTTTAATTTTTTGTCAGTGTTCCATGGTAGCATCCATGCAGGTGAAGCTCCCTGGGGAAATTTACTCAATAATTTCTTCCTTCTTTTCTGTTTTGGCGGCAGAGCTAATCCTAACTTCAGATACATAATATACATAATATCCTTTTCCTCCCTTATACCTTGATTATGTTAGTTTGTCCTCTGCCCCCTTCCCCTAAAAAAAAAAAAAACCCTGGGGAAACAGTAATCTCTGATGTATACTGGGAGGAGGGGGATAATTCTTTACTAGATAAGTGTTCCTGGATGAATGGAAATATGTGTCACAGACAAGATTTCTTAAAGAAACAGAATGTGGCAACTGTCACCAGAGAGCTACTTTCTAGATGGAAAGTACATAGGAGAATTGGATAAGTCATTTCAGTGGAGTCTTCTAAGAGGGATTAATGGGGTATGGCAAATTTTTAAGAGATTCTGCAATTAAAAGTTAGGGAAGATGTCCTGGGTTTGTGCAGCACTAACTATTTTAGCAATACAAAGAAAATGGCACGGATTCTGATCACTATATGAGTTGGTAGCCTATTGGTGAAAAATTCAGAATGCTAGCCCATCATCCACCCGTTCTATCTGGAGAGAAGAGTCAATGAGAAGAAATAATACTGTTTCCTCTAACCAAAGATTTCCCTTAGAACCAATGTAAATGGTCTGAGGGAGGTTACTGAGCAATGGAGTAAACACTGGGTAAGAGTTCCACTTCTTAACATTCTCTACTAGCTCTGCAGCTTTGCTACAGAGGAAATTACAGGAGCCTGGCTTGGCAGCAAAGCAGGAATTGCATCAGTTAGAGGAATCTTTACACTACCTACTTTAGAATTCTCAATTAGGAAAACTTCAATTGCAACAAGCATTTCTCCATTTACCAGTTGCCTAGAAGCAGCTTAACTGATAAAAACCTGCTGTCCTAGCAGCAAAGCATCTTTGATGCTAAAGGGCTTACCATCTCCATGGTGCAGATCCAAATCCACATAGAGAATACGGTCAAATTTCCGTCGCAATCGTAATATTCCTAGGACAGCATCATTGAGATAACAAAAACCAGATGCTTCATCTCTGTAAGAAAATAAGTTGCTATAGCCAACAGCCAAAAAGCAATCCAAGAAAGTCTTTACAGCCAAAGATCTAACTCTTGAGATCTAGTCCCTTAAAATTCCCCCTTCTTTTAAGAAAAACAAAAATCAACCTACAAAGATTATATAGTAAACGGCCCAGAATGATCAGGGAATGAAGCGTTTTGTTAAACATTCGGGTAAACTGGTAACATTTTTCACTCAGAATCCCATATCTTTAAAGCATTAGAATATTATAACTGCATTGAATAAGACATAACCTTTCTCTGATGATTCAGGGATCCCTTCAAAAAATGTGTGGTACCCTGGGATCATCATGATGAACACTTATGGGACCTTAAGAAAGCTAGAATCTAGAAGGCACCTTAAAGACAATTTTGTTCAGCCAAATGTAGAAGATGTTGAAAACTGGATTCTCTGTACTGATCCTGTGACATAACCTAGAAGTTTTTGTTGTTTTTGTTTTTAATGTCTTGGCATTTGTTGCTCACAAAAGCTGAGTGTAGAGTGTACAAGTGCATAACCTCCTAGGCAGTATAATGTGGTTGCCTTTCTGTAAATGTAATTATTACAATAAAGAGTGAAGCAATCTTTTCTGAATATTTTGTTTTCTTCACTAAAGTCATCTTCATTGATTTCACTGGTGTTCTTTAATTTTTTTGTTATTGGTGATACTGTCATTTTAACCTTTTGTCAACATTAAACAGCTCCTTTACTGCACTTCCATTAAGCCTTGCTGATTAGATGTAAAAGAATATTCTTTCTCATCATTATATTATACTCTACTATATTAATTATAATTATATTATATTTTGAGAGCTTCAACCAAAATGCTTTTCTCTTGCTTCCACAGATACTTCAAATATCCAGCATATTTCTTCTAAATTCTCCCTGAGATTTTACTTGAAACAGAATTCCAGGCATAAGCAACAGTTAAAATGGTATCTTTGCTACTATGAGACTATCAGCTCTTTCAAGTGCCTAGACAATGCATGAAATCTCTTCCATAATAATATTTCATAATCTACATAGTATCCTGGTTCACAGGCTGAATCAATGAATCAGGTACACTGGCAAGCAGGAAGTTAGTAAAAATATCTCTAGACATCGACTTTGCTTTATGATGGTGAACTTAGCAATCATCTAGCCAAATACTAGCTTGGCTTTAAGTATACAATCAGGAACAAACCAACTAAAAGAGAAATTTTCCCATATATGAATTCTCTGTAAGTAAGAATTAAATACGTGACTTTGAAAGTTCTTGGATGCAAATGCTATTTTCCAATTATGAAAAGCTTACATTTTATGTCTACTGCCTTAGCACATCAAAAAAGAGATAATTTGTCCTACTGAACATCAATAACTTTTGGGTAGATGGGATGAAACACTAAGCACTGGGCAAAAAGAGGAAAAAGACCGGGAGGAAGAATACAAATCAACACAAGACATAATTCCTTCACTTGGAGAACTTACAATTAAGTTAGAAAGATAAATCATAAGCACCGAAAAACAAAAACAAAAAGACCAACCATCCAAACAAAAAATACAATCATCATCCTTCCTCATGACTTCCATAAGACTGGCAGATGACTCCCTTGTTTACCTGACTCAATAAAACTCCTGGCTCCCTTCCTTTTCATGTGTGTGTGTGTGTGTGTGTGTGTGTGTGTGTGTTTAGAGTCAGAGTCTCACTCTATGTCCAGGCTGGGGTACAATCACGACTCTTGCAGCCTCGACCTCCTGAGCTCAGGCGATCCTTCCACGTCAGCGTCCTAAGTAGCGGGGACTACAGGTGCATATCACCATGCCTGGCTAATTTTTGTAGGGACAAGGTCTCACTATGTTGCTTAGGCTGGTCTTGGACTCCTAGGCTCAAGTGATCCTTCTGCCTTGGCCTCCAAAAGTGCTGGGATTATAGGCATGAACCACCGCACCCAGCCCCCTTTCTTTTAAGATGTTCCTTATTAATGAACATTCTCATGGCAATAGCCTGAATAATGATGATGATGTCTGTCATTCAGGAAGGTCTTTATGTCTCGTGTGTGAATGTGTAACATTTTCTTACCTCTGGATGGTATTACCAAATGAGATTATAAAATCTCTTAAATTACTGGAGTTCTTTTCACATTGGCTTATAGAAATAATAGGACATTCTTAAAATTTCCAGAAAATAAGGAAATTGAATTTTCAGGACTTTTAACTTGCCAACAAAAGTATTCCCATAAAAACAAACTTAAATGTTTTAAGAATTAAAGTTCACATAATTTAGGTAAATCTTAGGCAAATAAGACTAATTTAGTAATTCTGCTTTACTAAAATCAGCTATGTGTTTTCTGATTTATCAGTGTTAGGCATAATATACAGGTAGATTTCAATTCTTCTTGGGTATGTTCTTCCTAAACATATACAGGTTTATTGATTGAATGAGCTCACATTACTTTTACTAAATGCTTAAGACTATAAAAAAGTAAATTTGTTTTACCAAGTTGAGTCATTATTCTGACAAACTTTATTTCAACAGTAATTATGTTTTGTAGTGTATCAGCTTGAAGATAATTTACAAGATCTTCAGGTAACTAAAAACTTTGGGCTGATACTAATTGAATCAATTAATGAATATTCATTAGATACCTACACCATTTCTAAGTAAGAGAAACATTGATTACTACACATAATTTGGGGGTTATATGCTTTTGCTTTTTGTTTTTACATGCTTCAGAGAGGCTATACATATTTGGTTTTGTTAATGAACTTTTTTTTTTGCCAATTAGAGAAGTTGTATTATAAAGGATGTATATGGATACAGAAACTTGCAGAGGGTTCACAGAAAGGTGAATTTTATTTGTTGAGGGCAAAGCTGGCTGATGTTTGATCAGTTCATTTATAAGATTTCCAAAAATAACTTTAGTGTCAAATAACTGATGCAGAGCTAAAATTTGGTTTGGTTTTCTCACTGTCAAAATATCAAGTTTTTGGATTATTGGTCTTTCCTTAATAACAGATTGTAATGGTTTTGCTTTAGAGTAATTTTTGATAATAAAGGTTCTGTGTCTTACCAGAGTACTCTTCTATGGCTTATGTTGACTTTATTATGTGCTTAATTATTTAAGGAAGCAGAATCTTCTCACTTAGGAAAGAGCTGAGATTCTTTATAATCATGTTACTTTCTATGTTTACTTTTAAAATATTTTATTGTCACTTTGGTAAAATACATAGCCAACTATTACTTTTCAATAACCCATGATTCTATCTTAATTATGTCCCAGAGGGCCCATGGAAAATCACACAGGATTTGCTCTTTTACCTTATAAAAAAGAGAAGTGCTAGAAATAATTAGGTTTATTTGATATGTTACCATTGATGAGTTACATGAGAAGAGTTGTCAAATCAGAAAAGCTCTGCCTTCTCTAGGTTAAATTGGTATAGATAAAATGTCATTAATATAAACATTTCAGAAATTATATGCTATATGAGAAGTTTCTACAGATTTATTAATGCCCTTGTTTGCTATGATATGTTTCTATTTGTTAGAATTTTGGTGCTGCTTTGCCAGATATTAAGCAACTACAGTATAGTATTTTCAGTCATAATTTCAGTTTTTTAAAATGTTAACTTGTTCTCAATTTTGCTTCTTTATTTTGAATCTAGCATCTTCCTAGTCACTAGTTTTCGAGTGGGGATTCATACTACTTACCTATGAAAGTTTATTAATATATAAATGTTTAAGATTTTTTTTTTTTGAGTCAGGGTCTCACCCTTGCCCAGGCTGGAGTGCAGTGGCATAATCACGGCTCACCACATCCTGGACTCAGATGATCTTCTACCTCAGCCTCCCAAGTAGCTGGGACTATAGGTATGTACCACCATGCCTGGCTTAGTTTTTATTTTTTGTAGAGACGAGGTCTCGCTATGTTGCCTGGCTGGTCTCAAATTGCTGGTCTCAAGCAATTCTCCCGCCTTGGTTTCCCAAAGTGTTGGGTTTACAGGCATGAGCCACTGTGCCCGTTGTACTTGATATATTCTAACTATGTGCTTGGTATATTCATGGTATATTATGTCAAGATTATTATATCTGAGTCTTTTTTCTCTATAAAGATAATGTTCATGCAGTTTTATCAATTAGATATAATACCCCCTCTTCTTTGAAAATAGGGTTGCTGTTGTTTGGATTTTTGGTCCTCCAAAACTCCCACTGAAATTTGATTCCCAGTGTGGGAGGTGGGGTCTAGCAGGAAGTGTTTAGGTCATGGGGGTGGATCCCTCATGAATGACTTGATGCTGTCTTTGCAGTAATGAATGATTATTTGCTCTATCAGTTCCTGTGGTTTTCCCCATCCCCCTGCACAAAGGTGGTTGTTTTTTTGGTTTTTTTTTCTGAGTTGGAGTCTCACTCTGTCGCCCAGACTGGAGTGCAGTGGCCGCTCCCGGCCACCGCAGCCTCCACCTGCTGGGCTCCAGCGATCCTTCCGCCTCAGCCTTCTGAGTAGCCGGAATTACAGGCGCGCGCTACTACACCCGGCTGATTTTTTGATTTATTGCAGAGATGAGGTCTCGCTGCCCAGGCAGGTCTCGAACCCGCAGGCTCAGGCAATCCACTCACCTGAA